TCTAATGCCCACACCCACCGACAGAGGGTGTTCTCGCTATCAAACGGCCCTGCTTATGAAAACATGCCAAACTCATGCTAATTACTGCAGATGGCAAGGTCTATGCTTTAATTGAAGGTGTCATATAATGTCAAGTGTCGTATGATGTTGTTAACGTACTCGGTGCAGTGATGGTGGTGGTCGTGGTGTTGGTGGTAGAATTAGTGGTGTTTATCTTCTGTTTTTTGTTTTCATTCCCTTTAAAGAGTCGCGTTAAGGGCAGGCAGCCGAGCTATGCACCCACACGTCACGCGAAACAGCGGGAATAATCCTATCTTGCATCATTCATCAGTGTGTACCGGAGCCTGGGGCGCTGGTGGGGAAAGGGGAGGGGGTGGAGGGAATTCGGTATTCACAGAAGCATAAGCACTGCGGGAATTTGATTACTGTTATCGGCTAAGGGAAATATGCGTCCCCCTAGTTGTAAGATTTCATCGTTCGCCTACGCGGTGTCTTACCCTCGTAATTTTTTTTCCGTACTAACATTGTATACAGAACGTGATGTATATGGAGTTTGGAGGGCTTTGGAGTAAAAATGAGGGGGGGCAGGGAGGGGGGTGCGAGCCGCAGACAAGGCGCCGCAGCTGTGGCGCTCATATCCAAACTGACTAACAAGGGAACCTTTTCAGGTGTAAATCTCCGATTTTGTTGAAACTTGGAAAATTTGAAGTTTATTTATGTAGAAATCGGATGGCACTTGAAATTTTTCCTAAACCTGACATTTAGTTTCCCCTATATAAGGTAGGAGTGAGGTGTTAGAAAATAATATTTTTTGAAAAATGTAAGGCAGTGTTCTAAAGGGTAACTCGTCAAAGTAGTGCCCTTTGGGCCAAAATTTTGTCCGTTTTGCTCTATTTTGAACCGTTAAAGCGGTAGAGGAATATTTAGAGCAAAAACCAGTGTCAGGCTTAAGTAAACCCCTAGTAAATGTTAAGTTTAGGAAAAATTTCAAGTGCCATCCGACTTCTATTATAATAACCTTTAAATTTTCCGAGTACCAACGAAATCGGACATTTACACCTGAAAAGGTTCCCTTGTAAGGGGAGGGGGGAGGGGCATCTGTCGTGGTGAGAGGACGGTGCAGGGCGAGCTGCAGGGCCCATTAGCAGGAGCAGCAGGACGAACAGTAGGACGAGCAGCGGGACGAGCAGCTAGGCAGCAGGAGGCATGCGAGCGCGCGTCGGTCTGCTGTCGACGCGCAATTTAAACTTCGGCCCTGCAGCTGTCACCGTCACCGTCGAGAAGAGCGTCGTGGCCAGGGTCAGCGCTGAGCAGCTTCACTCGTCAAGACTGCCTTGTCCCGCCCGTCCCGGCCCTGCTCGCTCATTAATGCGCCGACTGACTGCTCGGCGGAGGCGCGCTGTGCAGCCGCCGTGTTGCGCGTCACCACGGGGGTGTGTCGCGGGGCTGACGGGGTGCGGCGACTGGCGTGACAGTAAGGCGGAA